AAGAGATATAATCAAATACTGGTATTTATGCCTAAGTTATAAGAAGGGTCCAATAGATTACCTGTGGATTGGCTTCAGCCCCAGGGCTGGAATTATCACTTTCGACAGGCTGGGTAACTAGAGCGTTCAGTTCCTCCTCAGTTGGTTCTTCGATGACCACTGCAGGTGGCCTAGGCTTTCTCACACCAACTTTTATTCTGACGGTTCGACCTTCAGGAGCTGGAGTAGGAACAGAAGCGTCCTTTGTTAACTTTCGCCTCTTTAAGGGAGAAGGAGGAGAATCACTTTCGTCATCACTCCCCGATTCGATCACAAATGCCGCCCTTTTCTTGGGCGAAGGGGCCTATAAAACCAATAGGAATTCGATTGAATAATTACGTCGAAAATAAAAAATCGAAAGCCAGAAGAAAAATGAAGAAAATCTGGTTACCGATGCAGGAGGCCTCCTCGAAGAGCCTTCCCCCTGTTGGTTGCCTGTTGTCTTCGCCGGCGCTAAAGTCTTCGCCGGCGGTGGAGGTTTTGTCGAAGGGACCCCTCCTTGTGGGCCTCCTGTAGCCTTCTTGGCTAGGGGCTTTCGAACAACTGAAAGCGAGAAGGAAAGTTAACAAGCTAACAGTCGAAGAGAAAGATAAAAAGCAATGTGAGAGTATGAACTTACATTTCTTTACTTTGTCAAACACAAGGACAAAAGACTTCTGCAACTCTGCTATGAAGTCCTTCTCGTCGAAGAAGTACTCAGCGTAATAGCTTCTCCACCATTCTTCAAAAGATGGCGAACAAAGGAAGTTAAGCTGGTAGTTGAACAGCGAGAGGATGGTTCGACCAGCATATCTTCCGATATGCCTGGTAGCAGCTTCTTCTGTATAATCGTTGCAGAAGTACAACATCGACTTCTCTCTTGGAAAAATGGGAGAAGGCAGGGTTTGGATGATACCAAACTGGCGAGATACCAGATTTGGTTGATAGGCAAGCAGACTCAGATGAGTCTTAGAACTCTTAAATCGAAGAGGCATAATCCTTGGGGTAAGGAATGCCTCCCAAAGTACAGAGTGCTCATCGACGTTGGGACCACTCGACTCCTTGGGATGTGGTCTTGTAAACCATGCTGGCCCCACCTTTCGTTGTGCAAATGGAGCCATAGTTGAAACGAATTCCTTCCTTCGAGCGAACATCAGCACGAAGTTAGTGAAGGTTTGTTGGAACTCTAGCCCATCTTCCACAGGTGTCAGTAGAGCCAGCCTAATCCCTTCGATACGTCTATTAGCTATCGCTGGGGCTTGTTCATTTATCTGAGTCTTCTTGGGTAAGAAAGACTCGAAAGTGGCGTTAAGCCACAGTTGAAGTAGCCAGAAAGGCCCAGCGAGTAACAAACTGTTCCTATCTTCGATATGCTTCAAAAGAGTAACCCCATTGCTGATGGAGTCATAAAGGCTGGCCAGAATTAGTTCTGCCAGACAAATGTTCTGGCGGTGATGCAGTTGGGTGGCCAGAGTGACCATCTTTTTGGTCACTTGCAGAGACTTCGAACAGAACACGAAGCGAGTTAGCCATAAGGCTAGAAACGCTATGTGTTCAACGTCTGACACTGCGTCTGTCGACTGGTCATGAAAATGGTTGATAAAGGTGGTGAATGTTGGCTTCGTCTCAGAAAAGCCAATTTGGTCCTCCGACATCTCTTCCGGGTCGAAGTAATCTCCGGTTGGTCGAAGGCCAGTGATGGCTGCTACGTCGAAGAGTGTGGGGGTTAACATCCCACATGGAAGGTGAAAGGTGAAGTGAGAGTTATCCCAGAACAGCATCGAAGCTATAAGCATCTCTGGGGAGTAGTTTAAACCTGTCTTCGACAGCATTATTAGGTCAAAGATGCCCATTTCCTTCCAGACTGGAGTTTGATGTTTTTCCAGCTTTGTTAGCCAAGCAACATAGTCCTGAGTGAGATTAGGGCAGGACCTGAAGACTCTAACACTTCTGTTGAAGAAACGAAGGTCAATCTTCTCGTGTGTAGGGTCTTCGTTGTCTTCTGCATCCTTCTTAGCACAGGCTACTGGTTTAAGTTTCTCGACGATGGGGAAGTAGCTCTTGATCTTCAGAGCTTCAGAGATGCTGGGGTTCATGGGTCCAGCCATTGCGAAGATTTGGTTGGAGTATCCAACCGGAATCATCAAGTGACGCGAGTACGCATCACGAACGGAGATGTCAGATGGTTCAGGGACCCTTCGTTTCCCTGTAGCATTCACTACCGGAGCGGTTACAAAAACCTTGGGCTTAGCAAGTTGCTCAGTTGGTGCGTTAGTCTTGGGGGCAGTTGAAGCAGAAGCCATTGTTGAAAATGAAGATGAAGTTGGAAAGGGAAGAGTTTTTCTGCAAAGAGAAACAAGTTTGCAAGAAAGCAAGGGAGTTTGAGAGTTGGTTTGCGTGAAAAGTCCCACAATGGGATATTCACTACTATTTATAGTAGTGGGAGAAATTCCCAATAACGAGGGCATTAAATGTCATTTAATGCTGCAGGGAGTAGTGGGACGCGTGGCAGCATCCTGTTGTTTTGGCCGTTTCTGCAGAAACAGAGAGACGCAGCGTGCGTCCTCGTTTTTTGAATTTGTCATAATGACAAATTATGAAGTGATGTTTTGGTTCTGCACGCCGTACTGACAGTGACGTCCTAGGATCAAATCAATGATGGTTTCTTGGGATTGCCAATAGTTGGTAAAAAGCAACAAAAAGTGCACAAGTTAACTTGTGACTAAGCGTGGAAAAACAGGTGTCGAATGGCGTTTTCAAAGAATGCCTTTTTCTTTCAGAGTCGAAATAAGGCATTCTTGGGGGGCAATTTGTTGGCTCCTAAATTCGACACCTTTGTTTTGATTGATGGCAGCCATTAAAAGCTGAAAGATGCTTTCGACTGGCTAAGCCTGTCGAAGTGCCCGTCGAAAGATGGCCAAATACTTAGAAGATTTCTTCCAAGGAAGAAGGCTGATTGCCTTCGACGTCGAAGGAGTTTTCGTCGAAGACGTCTCTTGACGAACGTGTTCGATGGTCCAGGGTGGAGCAGTTTGAAATTCAAAGCTTTGGAGGGAAAACGGTTTCCAGCAGTTACTACGTGCGAACGTGCAAGGATCTGGAGCGTCGAGCATGGAGAACGTGACAAGTGGCTTGATCTCGAAGCAGTGTAACTGCCCGACGGTTACTTGGAATGTTTTTGTATAAATAGGGGTAGACGTGTAGTTTCTCGCGTGTGTTCACAATAGATACATAGTCACTCATTTAGATTCAAGTACCCAGTGTGAGCGAACGAATTGTTGAGAAATGTATGTGTGAAACACCAATTTAATCAATTCAAGTCATTTACTTTTCCAGTATTTTACTTGCTTTCTCCTTTAAGATTCCTGTCGAACCTTTACATTCAAGCCTTGTTTATTTTACCAAGCCTTTTCCTTTATGCAATTTACTTTAAACAATTTACTTAAAGCCTTATCCACATTAATTAAACTTCAAAATCAACCTATGTCCATAGGATCAATCTGATCGATCCTGCGAGTAACCAAATAAGTAACCATTTGGAGGATCAGCGGTTGTTTACCAAATCCCTAGGTAAACACAAACCCAACACACATCAACCTCCCACCAACCCCCCAGACGAAACCGAACCACAAACACCCAACCACAGTCCCCACCACAAACACAATTACACCCAAATGCCCCACAATCAACCACAATCACCACCTCAGTACCAATACCCCCATATGCCTCACACCCAACCGCAATTCCAATCACAATACTAACACACCCGCATACCCCACACACAATTTCAGTCTTCTGTATATCCTAATATGGGCCCGTCAACATCCAGCCTTAGCCCTGATCTAGGAATGTCGGAAGATTATGAACCAATCGACCCAACTTACCATCAACCACAATATCACCAAACCACCAAACATCCTCAATACCAAACACCCCAGGATCCATTTCCTTTCTACCCCCCGTACTCAGACGATCAATGCTACAGACCCACCATGGAACCCCACCCACCGCCAACACGACCAAACTTTGAGGGTATGGGTAACCGACTGTACCAAAGCGGATCTTCTAGATATGGAGATCTGACTGCTTTCATGGATTCAGAACGCATTGACTTCGCTGGGCCATCGACCCTGCGACGACACCCAGCACGGGAAAGACGAGGATGGGGATGCGGAACCGGGGGTCATTACTGGGTTCCGGGATACCACTGATTAATTTGTTTTTTTTATCTGTATTTTTTTATGTAATTCTTATGGGTGTAATCATCTTTTGTAAATAAAAAGTCAATTTTGTTGATCCTACATCGAATACGCAACGCACCAGATTGAAAAAAAAAACGCGAAAATTACCCTAGAAATGCACTTAGGCGCCACCTCACTTGGCTTAGGGCAAGTCCTAAGCACCTAGGCGCCAAGTGAGATGACACATCCCCTTAAATAATAGGTGTAAGCGCCAAGTGAGATGACTCCTCCTTTGGAAAGTCATCTGAAACATGATTATTTGCGAATTTTTTTTAATACCTGATTATTGCAAAAAAAAATTCTTTAAATTATTCTCTATTCATTCCAAGGCAATCCAATAATCACAATTATTTAAATTATTTGAACAATAAATTAAAGTCATTTCCTTATAAATTTATTTTCTCAAAAAAATTCAAAAAAATACCAATTTCACCGTGTATCTATAAAACAAAAGTCAATTTTTATATTTTCCCTTAAAATAATAAAACGACGCAACCCAATATTTTGATTATTTGTTTATCAGCAAACGATGCACCCGAAAACATTTTCCGAATGAAATGAAAGTATGGGGCGGGAAAACGAAAACACCGCGCCAATGTATTCCCGCTCAACACAAACTACAAAACCCTCAACGTTCTTTCTCAATCTTCAGTTTCTCTTCCCAAATTCTCAATCTCAATCTCAATTACTTCAATTTTCTGATTCTCATTTCCGTTTCCTTCTTAGTTCCTGAATTCAACAATGTCTTCAGTTTCCTCCAAACGCAGATTCAGATCTCCTGCTTCACCTACTCCGGCCGCCGCTTCTCCGCCCTGCCGGAAATCCCCTCGCCACTGCATCGCTGCATCTCCCAATTCTGTACCGTCTGTAGTTCGCAAACTCATCACCGATGAGAATCTAATCGAGTCAGCAGCGAAATCCAAATGGAATCCCAAAGGTATGATTATAATTAATCAATTTAGCAATTAATCACTCGATTAATCAGTCAATTAATTAGTTAATTCATTAGTTAATTCCTTGTTGTATATATGTGTGCTGTGTGGATTGATAGATGGAGAGCAATTGCGGATTGTGAAGGAGGTGTTACACTTGTCTACTGCACCGTCCACCATAGTGTGTCGTGAGGAGGAGCAAGATGTGGTGTTAGGGTTTTGTAAAGGTTCTGTTGAGCATGAAAAGGCTGGGAGTCTTTATATATGTGGGTGTCCTGGAACTGGAAAATCGTTATCTATGGAGAAAGTTAAAGTGAATTTACTCAATTGGGCTACGCAGGTATATCTATTTCACTACTTGTTTATTTGGGTGAACTGAAATTTATTGAATGCTTGGAATTTTGTTGAACATTTGAGGGTTAATGATAATTGATATTTGATACAATTAACAAATGGTGTTATGTGATAGAATTAAAGGATATAGATACAATTAACAAGTGGTGTAAACCGTATAATGTGATTGAATTAATTGACATTGATTAAATAACAATGCACAATTTTAATATATCACCCCTCTTTGGTAAGTGCATATTTTGATTAAACTCTAATGTTTATGTATTCATGGTATAGATGTTGATTAAACTCTTTGTTAGTATAGTTACAATATTAATATTGATAGTATAGCCTCTTAATGAGCCTCTATAATCATCAGTAATTTGATGATCACATACCATGCAACTGCATTTTTGTTTCTTCTGTTAATGCAATTTCATTTTCAGGCAGGATTGCCATTGCCGGATGTTTTATCTGTAAATTGTACATCTCTGTCAAACACATCTGATATTTTTGCAAAGGTGAGAAATTGGAATGCTTAAACACATTTTATCGTATATAGCTGCATTACTTAGTTGTCTGACCAATTTGATTATCCGTGTAGATACTTGGGTTACACAAAACCCTGGGGAAGAAGGGTTCAGGCACGGCCTTGCAGCAACTTCAGAATATGTATTCTCATAAATCGCAGACAAAGAACATGATGTAAGAAATAATTCTTGTCATTGCTTTGATTTAATATATTTATATCAGTTGTTTCTGTAATTTGGATGCTAACAATGTGTCATGATTGTAACAGATTGATAGTAGTGGATGAATTAGATTATCTTATAACCAAAGACAGAGCTGTGCTCCATGATCTTTTCATGCTTACCACTTTCCCGTTTTCCAGATGTATACTCATAGGTAAATTTGTGAAACAAGAAATGTTTCGAATCTTGTTTATACCCTTAGATTGTTAACAGTTTGAGTTGTTCATGATCATGACTTATTGTGCTTGGTCTTACAGGTGTAGCTAATGCAATTGATCTAGCAGATCGATTTCTTCCAAGGCTTACTGCATTAAATTGTGAGTAACTTAACTAAAGTCAATCATAAGAACTTGCACTCCATTTTCAAAAAGTATTGTGCCTCAAATGACCCCAAGATTTAAGCTTCCCTCTTCATTTGTACATCATTGGACATTGTTCTCTTTTTAATTATTCTATTTTTGTTTCAGGCAAGCCTACTGTTGTAACTTTTCGAGCATACACAAAAGATCAGATCCTTCAGATTCTGAAAGAAAGGCTAAATGTAAGATTGCAGTTGTGCCAGTTTCTCCTTGAAATATTACTACTAAGAAAATATTTTATTAATAGTTTTGTCTTGCTATCAGGAACTTCCTTACACTGTCTTCCAACAACAAGCATTAGAACTATGTGCCAGGGTAAGTACATATAACATTGTCCAAATTACTTCAAAGTTATATAATTGATTTTGATTAATAATCTAATGTTACAATAAGGAGCACAATAAAGGGATATTCTATCACATAATTAAATAATAATCTTAGACTCTAATTAGCACCACACATTGCAGAAAGTTGCCGCTGCTTCTGGAGATATGCGAAATGCTCTTTCCATATGCAGGTTTGTCTTTATGTCATTATTTACGATTTATTGAATAAATCAGGGCACCTATATTTGAGATCCTCTCTATTGCATATAAGCTGGGTGCTTAAACTTTGCATCCTCCGGAAATGAGAGTTTAATCTGAATATTTTTTCAGGAGTGCAATTGAGATGTTAGAAGCAGAAATTAGAGATTCTGCTTCCAATTTAAATGCCTTAGAGGAGAAATCATCCTCAGAACAAAATCTTCCTACAGCTCTGGATGATATAAAAAAACATGAACTTGATATGGTAATTTCTTGTTGATTTGTTTCTAGTTTTGCTATGGTTGCCCACATTCCCATGAGTCTCATATTGTTAATAGATCTTTAATGTAGAAAACTTAGTATTTTCTTTCAGAATTATATCCCTTTTGTAGCTAGTATTGCCCTAATATTCTTAAAATTCATTGCAGGTAAGGATTGATCATATGGCTCTTGCATTGTCCAAAACATATAGATCACCAGTGGTGGATACAATACAATCTCTGCCGCATCATCAACAGGTAACCTTGAAAAATGCAGATTGTTGAAAAATACATGCTTTTATCTATTTTATGTAACTTTCTAAGATGAAGAAAACTTATTTTCTAGTCCGCCACTGTTTGCAGATTATACTCTGCTCTACAATGAAACATTTCCGTGGAGCCAAGAAAGACTCAATCCTTGGCGAGGTATGCTTTATCAGCTCTGTGACTGTTCTTAGATGGACTCATTTTAGCTGTTATATTGGTTACTAAAACTGTAATAATGATGCAGTTATATAAATCTTATGCGGTGATATGCAAATCATCACTAATTCCCCCAGCTGGAATTATGGAATTTTCAAACATGTGCAGAGTGTTAAATGACCAGGTATCTAAAATAGTTTGATTAAGAATTTCTTGATATAACTTTTGGCACTAGATGATCGGTTAATGAAGTTTCATAAATTATTACTACAGGGCCTTATAAAACTAGGACAATCCCGGGATGATAAATTGAGAAGAGTGACACCTAAAGTAGATGAAGGCGATATTACTTTTGCATTGCAGGTAATCTTTCATCCTTTGGTTTTTAACCCCCTTAAGATTATTGTGCTTGAATTGATAGTTAATCAGTAATGGTTTTTTGCCACTAATAAATTTCATCAAACAGGGAATCCGCTTTTTTCGAAATTGTCTTCAATGATCCTGCTTACTGGTGGCGGCAACATTTTCATTAGAAAGCACAGCTTTAAGAGATGTTAGAGGAATTTTATTTATTTATATCTAGAGAATAATATAGCAATTGATGTAAAACATTAATTATATTTCACATTAATAAAGTGAAATTCTTTTCTCATATTCTACCAGCCTCAAATAGAGTTGAGATTCATTGCATGACCATCAATCCAATGCACTAATTAAACACTTTAATTGATATATGATAGACAACCTGTTCTATCATGCAGCAGTCTTGTACTGCTGTTTTTAAATCTTGGCAGATTTGATTTGATTATGTTATATTTCTTTATTTATTTATATCTAGAGAATAATATAGCAATTGATGTAAAACATTAATTATATTTCACATTAATAAAGTGAAATTCTTTTCTCATATTCTACCAGCCTCAAATAGAGTTGAGATTCATTGCACGACCATTAATCCAATGCACTAATTAAACACTTTAATTGATATATGATAGACATCCTGTTCTATCATGCTTCTATCATGCAGCATCTTGTGCTGCTGTTTTTAAATCTTGGCAGATTTGATTTGATTATGTTATATTTCTTATGGATATATTTCATAGATTTTCACAGGTCAAAAAGATTTGTTTTGGAACAATTTTGTATCTCTAATTGTGCAAAAGTTACTAAATTGGGATTTGAAACAATTTAAGTGTTTAATATAATCAAAGGAGGGAGTTTAACTTTGAACTAATACTGCTGATAATGGATTTCCTTCCTGGCTTGGTAGGCCCCAGATGTAGGTGAATTTACACCAAACTGGGTTAACAACTTTATGTGTTATTTATCATTTTGCAGTTTTATTTCTGTATCACTTATAACTTAATTGATCTGGTCTGCTACAAGCTGTTGTAACATCTGTCTTAACATCATATTCTGATGTTGGGATATATGTATGTTGCCTATACTAGATTTTCAATTGGTATCAGAGCATACACCATGGTCTATTAAGTGAATTTTCAGGGAGATATATTTCTAGTACTATGTGTCTTTTGGGAAAGCTAGAGTGATACCATTCCGATAATCAATGGACTGTAGAACTGTGAAGTTTATCAGGTTGAAAGAATCCTGGAGATTTAGAAGACAAAAGAAAATAACATGTGTTTGAAGCTATCAATACCATAATCTATGGAATTGATAATTTTTTTTCCAGACTACATCACTAGTATTGTATCCAAATATACTTGGGAAATCTCTCAAGTCCACTTATAAAGACATATCTAAGTGTGTTTGGAAGAAAAATGTTCAGATGTGAGGATGATCAAGAAGAAGATTCCCAGGTCTCTTTTCTGGAGGTTTGACATGAAAGTGACAAGCCATTGAAGAAAGACAAGAGCAATTTATTTTTGCTTTCAACTCTATAGGAGTTTGGTTTCTGGTCTCTAATAAAGGTTTTCTTATTGCTCTGTGTTCCTTGGAAGAAGATCCAATCAGAAGTTGAGGATATTGGACATAATGTCTAGACCAAATGTCAAAGGCATGTGTGCTGACTTCAACATGTCTGTGATGCTAAAAGAATACTGGAACTGGAGTAAAGATCATTAAATATCAAAGCATTCCTATGAATGTGGAGATCTTGGATCTCTGTGAAGCATAATATAAAGCAACTAGGAAAAATAATGAACAATGAAGTCTCCATTGAATGTTATTTATCCCAAAGAAGGGAAAGGAAAACATAGAGTAAACCTGAGAAAGGAGAAATCAAGGTCTTGCGACCAAGAGAAGGGTACAATATCCGATTATGCAAGGGGAAGGTATTAGCACCCTTCACGTCCGCTGTAATAAATGAGATCCGCTATTGTTGTTCTAATCAAATAGTGTGTTAAATCTAAAGCTTACAAGCTAAGGGAATGCATGAATGCAGAGAGTTATATACAAACAAAAAGAAAGTTATTATTATTATTATGCTGCCCTCGGTTTCGAAACCTCGTGCCTACGTATCCCCTTCGTGCATAGAGATATATTGCTGCCCGACCTTCGGGGACTCACGCGTCGTATTGCGCAGAATGGAAATAACACATCCTTTTTATGAAAAGATTTTCAAAAGAAAAGCCTGAAGGCAAAAGAGTTTGAATTTATTTGTATTTTTTACCTTGAAAAAGGATTTGATAATTTGAACTACATTAAATACTATGATTGAAAGGAAGCACAAAGTTAGGAATCCACCACCTCATACTCCTCCCAATGCTTAAGGCTCATGACACATGATTCACCTCTTTATTGTTAACTGTTTTTGAGATTTTATAAAGAAAAAAGAGTTTTAGTTTTTTAGATGCAAAAGGGGAAACAAAATATAAAGGGTAAAACTCAAGTCCTAATGTTGTCATCCAATATGGACCTAAAGTTAGAATTAAGGAAAAATTATCTAATGTTAGCATGCAAAATGGACTTATGGGTGAGGATTAAGGGAACTACCTAATATTATCATGCTTTGTTTAAAACCTAAAGTCTAAAAGATGAGTATCCTAAGGGAATATTCAATCACAAAAGACAAAGACAATAAACAAAAATATAAACATCCAAATAAATATCTCAAAAGCCAACCCAACACCTAAGTGTAAAGGTCAAACATCAACACAAGTAGCAAACAGATAAGACCCTAAACTCTAAACATGCTTCAAGGTAATCAATTAATGAACCCATATGTTTCAAAGTAAAGACTCAACACACCTACTAAGGTCCCCTAAGGGTCATGCTCAAATGGTTTTACCCTAAGGTTATACAAACCAAAACACATGCAATCATCAATCACACAAGCACTCAAGGCTTTAAGTGTCAAACAAACATCATCACTTAACATAAAAAGAAAAGATAACTTAGGCAAGATAGAAACTCATACAAGTCAGCAAGTATACCTTAAAAAGGTTCACACAAACATGTCTCAAATATGGGAGAAAGATCACACAAGAATTAGGTCAAAAGACCAACCAAACAAGTCCCTAAGGACCAAACCACAAGTGATCAAGGCATCAAGGCTCAAACATGGAATCAAGGTAGGACATATCTTTGGAAAGAAGTTAACTAAAAACATGTCTCGTAATTTCAAGAAACTCATACAATCATCACATTCAAACAATGTTCAAGCAATTAGGAAATTTCAAGAAACAATGTCATCCTTAAGAGGAATCATTCATTCATGGAAAATAATTGATCAAGCAAACATATGACAGAGCATTGAGACAATAAAAGTCAGTAGACATATCAAAATAAACTCTACAAAATCATATCACAAAGGTTTATAAGGAAACATATCAATGTCACACAAGCAACTTGTCAAAAGCAAACTTTAAGTGGAGACTAGTCCTCTAAACAAAAGATGCTAGCATGGAAGGCAAAAGGATAGAAATATGGTGAATAAGATGAGACAAATAAGAATAATATATTCAACTTCAACATGTCCCAATAGCATAATAAACTTCAACAATTATTGAAAGCAAAGCATGATCAACAAAGGAAGCATTCATCAATCAAAGTCAACAAAAGAAGTTAACTATTCCTATCAAAGTAAATGAACACGAGAAAATGAAATTTAGGCTACCTAAAATGAGAAGTCATAAGCTAATACATAGAGTATTAAATCATGGAAGACTCTCAAGTATCACAAAAATATCATACAAAGCATGCTTGAAGTTTGCACCACAAGATAAGCAAAATAAACCCTAATGCATCCACTAAAAGACGTATCAAAATCATGTTAAACAAAGAAGAAGATGAAACAAGGAAATTAGATACTAAGAAAAACCAAGTAAGAAGCAATGACATGTTATCCTTATCATATAAATCACTCAAGCATCATTAAGCATACACACAAGCCATGTTCAAGGATAGGCAAAAAAAATAGACTACCAAAACCTTAGGAGGTACACTCAATTGTAACCACATTCAAAGCTCATGAAAAGACCTATAAAATAGAGTAAAGAGGCTATTACTCATTGAATTACAAACATATAATAAAGTGAAGGACAATCCATAATGATTGCACAAGTGCACCTCAGAACAAACAAACAATTCAAGCAAACATTAAGCATTTAAGCATGCATTGTGATCAAGAGAGAGTAGAACTTAGGAGGCTTAAAAAACAAGTGAAAAATTATTAAAGCATAATTAAGTAAGCTAATTAAAAGTGTCCTAAAATGTTCCCAAAGAATGTACAAGAATTTCTCAAAGCAAAAGCACTCATCAACCAAACATGGCAACTAATGATCAAGCAAGTTAGGCATTCAAAAATAATTCAAACATGAACCAAATTAATTCAACAAGGCATCAAATGACAATAAATACCCTATATTCACATTCCTAAGTGTGTGCAAAAATTTGGATCAAAAGGCATTCAAGGAGATCATCAATCACGATTCGAATCATCAAACTAGGTCAAACAAACACATCTCATGATAAAATCAAAATAAAATATCAAAACAATTAGAAAAATAAAATAAAATAATTTAAAATTAAATAAGACATCAAATCATTTAAATGTATTTTTTGTGGAATTTTTTGAGTATGAGACCATTTTGAAATTCTGGTAGGTCAGAACTTCAGATGTCCTATGACATGTTGGGACATCTGATCTGACATAAATAACACAAGCAAGATATAAACAATATAAAACAGTACTGAAAAGTAAAACAACACAAGAATTGTTAACACAGTTCGGTGTACAACAACACCTACTCTGGGGGCAACCAAGCCAGGAAGGAAATCCACAATCAGTAGTGTTGTATCCCAAAATTCCCCCTCTCATGTTTTCCAAGATTGTCTCTTACATAGATGGTTACAAACACTTGATTATAGAATTTTTTTTTGAAGATAATCAAGTATCTTTTGATTTGGCTTATGAACAAGGTATTTTGATTGTGCATTTGGCACTCTTCGATCATGCTTTGATTAGTGGGCTTCGATTGGGTATTTGGCACGCTTAGAGCAAGCTTTGGTCCACAAGTATCATTCAAGCAGTGCCCT